ATAGTGAGCTGGGGCTACAGGGAGACCCTGTCTCAAAAAGACCATAAATAAATAAATAAATAAATAAATAAATAAATAAATAAATAAATGACTGGGGAGATGGCCAGGTTAAGCGCACTGACTGCTCTTGCAGAGGACCCAGATTCCCAGCATCTACATGGTGGCTCACAACCATCCGTCCAGTTCCAGGGGATTTGATGTCCTCTTCTAGACTCCACAGGGTCCAGGCATGCATGTGATATACATACATACATGCAGGTAAACATACATTTAAAAAAAATTGCTTTTAGAAAAAAAAAGCATTTACTGAGTCCTCACTGTGCTTCTCAGTCTCTCCTTGAACTTGATTTTCACATTCACCCATAAGTAGATGTTGACAGACAGTAGAAACTGGGATTTGGAGAACTGAAATCACTTGCTCATGTTGCACAGCTAAGAGGTCTTGAACCCAATGTTTTCTTCTAGAGCCTGTGGTCTTCCTAATGTACGCAACTGGGGGAGTTGGCTCTTTGGGGGACCTTTACTCTCTTGGCTCTAACTTTTACAGGTGGGTACTTGGCACACAGTTTGGCCATCATGACTGATGCAGCTCATCTGCTCACCGACTTTGCCAGCATGCTCATCAGCCTCTTTTCCCTCTGGGTGTCTTCTCGACCAGCCACGAAAACCATGAACTTCGGCTGGCAGCGAGCTGGTAAGGATTCCAAGTAGGCTGGAGATGGGACTGATGACTGATTGAGAGAGACAGCACCAGTCCAAACAGGATTGTTCTTTTTGCTCTGAATTTTGTGGAGAGTGTTTGTTTTGAGACAGGGGCTGGACTTGAACTTGCCTTGTAGCTGAGGCTGACCTTGAATTCCAGATCGTCCCGTCTCTACCACCCGGGTACTGGGATTACAGGCAGATGCCACCACATCCAGCGTGGTTTTTTTTGTTTGTTTGTTTGTTTGTTTTCTTAAAAGGGTCTTGATATGTAGCTCAGGCTAACCCCTAACTCATTCTGTAGTCCAATCTGATTTCAAAGTTAGTGATTCTCCTGTCACAGCCTTCCAAGTGCTGGGATTAAAGGTGTGTGCTACCACAGTGATGTTGGGCTAGAACAAGGGTTCTTAAGAGGAATTCCTGAGTCAGGCCAACAAGTTGACTTGGGTAGGGGGAAAGAATATCAGCCTTGGCCTCCATCCTGGAAGTTCCCAATCTGGTGGCATAGCCCTAGTGCCAGTGGTCTGGGAGTGACTAGTCTGCCTAGTAGTGGCCCAGGAAGAACAAAGGACAGTAGCCTTGGCACTGCCCATACCTGCAGGGATCGGCTCTGGGGGAGGGAAAGGTCAGCAGGTTATGCTGGGTTCACCCTGTCAGTGCACTTCTGGATGACACTGTCTCTTTCCTCTAGGGAGAGATGGCCCCGCATCCACAGAGCTTCCGTCTGCCAGTTTAGTAAAACAGAAACAAAACAAGGGGCTTGAGAGATGGCTTTGCTACACTCTTGCAGAATACTAAAGTTTGGTGTTGCTTACTACAGTAACTCCAGCCATCTTCTGGCATCCTCCTAAACCCACATGTACTTGAACATACATATACCAGACATACACACATACAAAAAGGAAAAAAATCCTTAAATATTCCTCTCCTGTATGGGCTATCTACCTTAATTAAAGTAGGTAGTGAACCTCCCCAATTGGCACTGGGGTACTGATTCAGATTTTTTTTAAAAAAGCTGGATGTGGTAGCCCTCCTCTAAACCTAGGACTCTTTAATCCCAGCACTTGGAAAGTACAGGCAGGTCAATCTCTGGACTCGAGGCCAGCATGGTCTACACAGCCAGTCAGGAGTAGGCTCTCTCAGCCTTAGGGCCCTGTGCTTAGGTTGCTGTTGGGGTTGGACTCTTCTCCAGAGATCCTCGGAGCCCTGTTGTCTGTGCTGTCCATCTGGGTGGTGACTGGGGTGCTGGTGTACCTGGCTGTGCAGCGGTTGGTCTCCGGGGACTATGAGATCGAAGGGGGCACCATGCTAATCACGGCAGGCTGTGCTGTTGCTGTGAACATCATGTGAGTGTGGTCCTGTTTCCTACGATTGAGAGCACCCCTACCACCACCACTACCACCTATCACATACCAACCTCTGTCTACTCTCATTGAAAGAAAGTGGTTCAGGACAGGCCACAGGGACATGACATGCACCAGTGCCGTTTTACCCTCTTGTTAAAGAATAACGATGGAGGTCATACAAAGCAGGGAGGATGGGTCTGGTTGGTGCAGGAGCAGAGCCCGAGTCAGGCTGCTGGGGCTCTAACTGATTTCAGTGAAGGAAGGGGTGGGGAGGGACATAGGTGTGTCATTTGGGTCCTCTTTCTCCTTTTCTCAGTGGCCTCAGTTTCCCCACTTGTAGTATTCGGGGGTGAACCAGATGACCCTCACATTGCCTCATTGCTCTGAAATTTGTCCTTGACAAACAATTGGCACTGGGGCAGAGCCCTTTCTTTACCCTGCGACTGAAGGAAGGCCACAAGGGCTAGGCTCCTTGTTTGGGTCTTCAGAAGTATGCCCACAGGGAGGCCATGCAGCCCTAACGAGTGGCCTCTGCCTGTCTGAACTGAAGTCAGTGAGCCCCTGGGCTTTGTCTCTGCTCCTATAGAATGGGGTTGACCCTTCATCAGTCTGGACATGGGCACAGCCATGACATCGAAGAACAGGATAACCCCAGTGTCCGAGCTGCATTCATCCACGTGGTTGGGGACTTGCTGCAGAGTGTGGGCATCCTGGTGGCAGCTTATATTTTATACTTCAAGGTCAGAACTGGGTATGAGGGAGGGAGTTGGACAGTACCCAGGTTCATTTCTGCATGGGTCCTTTTCAGGCAAGCTGCCTCCAGCTCTGGACAAGAGAGTGGGGGCAGGGAAGGGATATTTATTTAATACCTTCCAAGTGTTGGTACTTATCTCCACAAGCCTGAAAGGTAGGCAGTTGGGTTTTATGTGACTCAGAAAGGATCTGTGACTTGTACAGTACAACACAGTTGTGGACTGTACGCTGCCAAAGTCTGGGCATTGTCCATCACCGAGAGAGCATAATTTGAGGCTTTGTGATACTGACTGAATTGCTTGCTTTCATTGAGCCTCAGTTTACAAATCTCTAAAATGGGAATGCTGGATCAGATGCTAAGATTCTTTTTTAGCTCTGCCTGTGTCTCAGCCCTTCAGGCAAGAGGTATGTCCAGAGCTCTTCTGGATGGGGAATAGAGTTTTTAAAACCTGAGAAGGCCAGGTTGAGGCTTGTGCCCACCCTGCAGAGAGACCCTCCTGGATACTGTGCTGGTGGAAGGGAAGCCCAAGGGGATGCTGTGAACCCCAGGCTCATCTTCTCCTTCTCTTCAGCCAGAGTATAAGTATGTGGACCCCATCTGCACCTTCCTCTTCTCCATCTTGGTCTTGGGGACAACTTTAACTATCCTGAGAGATGTGATCCTCGTGCTCATGGAAGGTAACTTGGACATCAAGGCCTCTGAGTGTGTGTGCCTGTGTCTGTGTGTTTGTGTAGTCCTTTGTAGGGGCCAGAGGTTGACACCTGGATGTCTTCCTCGCCTTAGCTTTTGAGACAGGGTCTCTAACTAAACCTGGAACTCACTGGTTCCTCTAAGCCGGATGGCCTGCAAGTCACTGGGATCCACCTGTCCCTTCCCTGTTGATGTCTTGTCTATTCCCCTTCCCCTCAACACACAGCTCTAAGGTTATAGGTGAGCACTGCCATACCCATCTTTTTTTGTTTTTTGTTTTTTTACATGGGTACTGGGCATCTTAACTCAGGTTCCCATTTTATGCACTGAGCCATCTTCCTGGCTCTGGGGCTTGATTAGCCTAGGCTGACTAGCCAGTGAGCCCCAGGGATCCGCCTCTGTCTCTCCCTCTCTAGTACTGGGGTTACAAGCGCGCACCATCATTCCCAACCCTTTTTTTAACAAGCAGCAAGCACTTTACTTGCTGAACTGTCTCTCCCCACCCAGACTTAGGGGCCCTTGGCTGCTCACAAGGTCTGATCTGCCTCAAGGATGGTGTTTTTAATAAGTCAGAGGAATCACAGAGCTGGGGTATAAGCTGGGGTCTAGAGTTGAGCCTACCCTGGAAGTCTTCAAGGGCTCTGAGCCAACTGGCCTCGAGCTGGGTCCTTAGGTGTGTCAGTTCCTGGAAATGTCCCAGTGAATGCTTACCCACCCCCCCAAGCCCCAAGGGTTATTCCTTCCCTATTGGGGTGTGTCTTTGCTACCTGATCACATGTCTTCTGGGTGACCTTGGTAGCACCTGGAGCTTCTACCTGTGCCCTCAGTCATTCTTGCCTTATCCCAAGAAAACAAAGGTTAGAGTGTTTGGGGCTTGGGGTTTGTTTATTTGTTGTTTTGTTTTGAAAGAGGGTCTGGTAGGCAGCCCTGGCTGGCCTCGAACTCACAGATCCTCCCACCTCTGGGATCAAAGGTAAGTCACTTTACTTGGCCCTGTTTCTTTATTTTTTTGGTTTTGGGTTTTTGAGACTAGGTTTCTCTAAGCCCAGACTGACCTGGAATTCAATATTCTCCTTCCTCAGCCTCAGTTCAGTTTGGAATAAAATAGGGTGCTGGTCTGGTGTTGGCAGGAATATTTTACTTTTCAGGTCAGAGTTGGTTTTTTTTCCTCCAAGATAACTGTCTCCACAGGGAGTGGTGGGTCCACACTTGTAATCAAGTACTTGGGGAATAGAAACCAGAAGACCAATTTCAAAGCTGGTATCAGCCAAGCATCTGGTTCAAGGCTACTTGAGACTATGTTTCTAAAAACAAGCAAACAACAAAAATAACAACAAAAAATGACTGTCCCAGATAAATGTAGTGTCGATGGTGATGGCTTAGTGGGTCCCAGGGCACTCAGGAACCATCTTTCCTCCTTATCTTCCTCTAAAAGTAATTGTTACATGAGGCATGTTTGATGGTGTACACCTGTAATCCCAGCAGTCTGGAAGTTGAAGCAGGATTGTGAGTCTAAGCCCTTTCTCAAAAAAACAAACAAGGAGCCAGAGAGATGGCTCAGTGGATAAGAGCTGTTCTTGTAGAGGACCCAAGTTCAAATCCCAGCACCCATATGGCAGCTAACAACCATCTGTAACTCCAGTTCCAGGGGATCCGATGCCTTCTCTGACCTCTGCAGTCACTGCACGATGTGGGTGCACTTAACATACATGCAGGCATAACACACACACATAAAACAAAAAAATAAATAAATAAATAAAGTTTTAAAAAATCCTGGCCCTGAGGAGGTGGAGCTCTGGAGTTTCAGGCCAGCCCAGTCTACATAGTGAGCTCCAGGCTAGCCAAGGCTGCATAGTAAGATCTAAAAAAAAAAAAAAAAAAAAAAAAAAGACGCACTATGAGCCCGGCCTCCAAACCCAGCATACAGCAGTGAGCTCACAGTTTCCCATTCTAGAAGACACAACAGATAAATTAGCAAGATGATTTTGCATGATGTTACCTGTGTGGGGACAGAGTTGGGGGGTAAGAGTCCAGGTGAAACCTGCTAGCCAAAGAGGCCTTCTCTGAGCAGATGGCACTCGAGGAGGGGGGTTGGGATGGCAGACAGTGCCCTTTAGCATTGTGCTTGCTGTCCCCAGGGACCCCCAAGGGCGTGGACTTCACAGCTGTGAAAGATCTGCTGCTGTCTGTGGATGGAGTGGAAGCCTTGCATAGCCTGCATATCTGGGCACTGACAGTGGCCCAGCCAGTACTGTCTGTCCACATAGCCATTGGTAAGTGCAGGTGAAGGAAGAGGCAGCCAAAGGCCTGGGGCAGTCTCTGAGGGTTTCCTGAGCTGTGGCCCATGCTGTGCGTTTAAATGCCCTTTGATCATCAGCACTTCATCTGTCATGCAAGATACTAAGGCAAGGGTTGGGTGATCAAGTCTCTTGTCCAGGCTGCCAAGAAAAAGAGAGGACAGGGGACACAAATTCAAGCCTCAAGACCTGTGATTTTTTCCATTTAAAGGCTTGCCGGGTGCAGGATGGCACCTGAGGTTTCTTCTCATTCATGTCCCCTAGTCCACTTCCTGGGGTGGGGTCAGGGAGTGGGGGACACGACATGAAGCCAAGCAACCTGTTTCTCCCTCTCCAGCTCAGAACGCAGATGCCCAAGCTGTTCTGAAGTTGGCCAGTAGCCGCCTCCAGGGGAAGTTCCATTTCCACACCATGACCATCCAGATCGAAAGCTACTCTGAAGACATGAAGGACTGCCAGGCCTGCCAAGGCCCCTCGGACTGACTGCCTGGCTAGGCACCGGCGGGGGCATGGCCAGAACTCAGGTGGCTTGACTGAGTGTCCAATCAGGACTCTGCCCACCTAGCTGTATTTAAACCTGCTCCAGGTTCAGGGTCCAGCCTGGCCCACTACACAACGGGGGGCGGGGCTCTCCCTGGCCTCCCTCTGCCCAAAGCCAGCTTCAAGGTAGGGATGTGGTAGATGTGAAGTCGGCCCCCCTTTCTCCTCCTCCTGAGTCAGACCAGATCCTCAGCTGATGCCATCCTAACACCATGGCTAGAGAGGCACTGAGACGCAGCATTGCATTGCTTCCCGACAGGTTCTCTAGAGTGTCCCATACAGTACAGGTTTTTTTGTGTCTTGAACAAAGACTTGAGTAAGATACATGACTGGGGAGTCAGGGCTTCATTTGCAGGTTCTTGGTTTTCTTTGATAAAAGAGTTTAAAAACAGACTCAGAAGGAAGTTTGAGGACCAATTTTTTTATTGTTAGGGAGAAAAACCACAAGGTAGGCGAGAATGAATCTCTGCAGCTGCCAAGACTTTTTTTTGACAGGGCCTCCCTGAAGCCCTGGCTGCCCTGAACCTGTACGTAGACCAGGCTGGCCTCAAAATGACAGAAATCCACCAGCTTCTGCCTTCTGAGTGCTCAGATTAAAGGTGTGTACCACCTGGGCTGGAGAGATGGGTCAAGGTTTAGAGCACTTGATTGCTCTTGTAGAGAACCTGGGTTCAATTCCCAGTACCCACATGGTGGCTAACAACCATCCTAACTCCAGTTCCAGGAGATCCTGCACTCTCTTCTGACCTGCAGGCATTACAGGACATGGGCACACTTTAAAAATGCAGGCAATACACTCATACACATAACATAAAAATAATTTTTTTAAAAAAATGAAATATTCTTAAAAAAAAAAAAAGTGTGTACCACCATGCCCAACTGAAAGTCATGCCTTTTGAGTTAGGGTTCACAAAGGAGGTCTGTAAGCAGTTAAGTGGTCTGTAGGCAGGGGGAAGGGGAGGGCTCAGAGAAGCAGAAAGCCCAGAGTATCAGGGCAAGCAAGCTTAAGATTTTGGTCATTATCCACAGATGAGATAGCAGGGCTAGGGAGATGGCTCAGTGGAGGGAGAGTACTTGCCACACATGTGAGGACCTGAGCTCAGATCCACTGCCCTTGTAAAAAGCCAGGCACCTAGGGAAGAGAATTAGGAGGATCCCTGTGGCTCGCTGGCCAGCTAGTCTCACCAAAGCCATGAGGTCTAGGCTCAGTGAGAGACCCTATCTCAAAATAAATTGTTGGAGGCTGGAGAGATGGCTCAGTGGTTAAGAGCACTCACTGGCTGTTCTAAAGGACTTGGCTTGGATTCCCAGCATCCCCATGGCAGCTAACAGCCAGTTCCAGAGGATCCAACACCCTCTTGTGGCTTCTGTGGGTACTGCATGACACAGGTGTATTTACATACATGCAGGTAATCCACTCATATACAATTTAAAAAAAAGAAAAGAAAATGTTTTGAAATAAAATAAATAGGAAAACAGTCAGGAACAATATTTGATGTTAAGCTCCGGCCTTCCAGACACGCACCTCACATACTCGTGCAAAATAAAAATAAAAAACTAGCTGACACGGTGCCTTTAATCCCAGCAGCTGCATCTCTGTGAGTTCCAGGCCAGCTGGGTCTACAAGGAGATCCTGTCTCAAAAAGACCGTAAATAAACAAATAGCCAGCATGAAGGCATAGGCTTCTAATCCCCTCACTCCTTAGGCAGAGATCTCTGAGTTTGAGGGCACCCTGGTCTACCTTTGGAATTCTAGGTCAGCCAGTGCTACATAGTAATACCCTTTCTCAAAAAAAAAAAAAAAAAGATAAAAAGGGTAAAGGAAAAGTTACACTTTGAATTGAATTAAAGCTCAGATAAGCAGGCCAACTTAGCAGTTAGATCTGTAAGCACCTTCCTTGAGGGAAGGGCTCCAGGGATGTGTTAGTGCCTCATTAAGGGAATAATCACTCCTTCATCTTCTTAGCAAGACTTTGGTGAATCAGCTTTCTTGGGGTGTGGTATCTGGCCAGGTAATTGACAGGCCCAGTTAGATGAACTTAAACAAATTTTTGAGGGGGCTGGAGAGATGGCTCAGCGGTTAAGAGCACTGACTGCTCTTGCAGAGGACCTGGGTTTGATTCCCAGCACCCACATGGTGGCTACGAACCATCCTTAACTCCAGTTCCAGGGGAATCCGAAGCCCTCTTCTGACCTCTGTGGCATTGCACAACACGGGTGCACTCATTTACATCCAGGCAATACACTCATACACATAGAATAAAAATAATAAAATACTTTTTAAAAAAAGAAAGAAAAAATTTGAGTGTTTTGCTTGCATGAGGTAAGTGCACATGTGCAGGCAGTGCCCACAGAGGCCAGAAGAGGGCGTTGGATGCCCCCGCAAGGCAGTTACAGAGAGTCATTAGCTGCCATGTGGGTGCTGGGAACCACACAGATCCTCTGTAAAAGGAACAAGTACAAGTGCTCTTAACTGCTGAACCATCTCTCCAGCCCCAACTTAAAAATTTTTTTTAAAGACAGGGTCTTGTTATGTAGCTTTGGCTGGCCTGGAACTCACTATGTAGATCAGGCTGGTCTGGAATTCACAGAGATCCTCCTGCTTCCTGAGGTTTTTGGTTTTGTAAGTGTATTGTGTATATGACGTATATGTCGTTGTACATGTGCCACAGGTGTGGCGATCAGAAAACAATTTTGTGGAGCTGGTTTTCCCAGTCCAGCTTTCTGTGGGATTCGGGGATCAAACTCAGGGTGCTAGGCTTGAGTTCTCTTGCTGCCCTCCCTGCTTGTTGGATTAACTCTTTCTGGAGGTGCCAATAGTATATAGTGTTCTACCCTGTGGGACATATTAGCATGTCATGTCTCTACCCTGAGTCAGGGGTAGATCTAATTCCATTCTTTTGACCAGGAAGTAGCTTTCATTTAATGGGCTTCAACAAGGGAGACTGGCCGCCAGGTTCCCTCCCTGACTTGATCCTCACCAATCTTGGCCTTATGAACCTGCAGCTGCCAGTTCAGCAATAACAATATGGTTTGTCAAGACCATGGGAGCTGGAGACTGAGAGTTGCCTTCATATGAGTCCTGCTGCAATGTAGAGCTAGGGGGCACCTGAGGCCTCTCTGCCATGATTACTTTGGCCATAGGCTACCTGTCACTTTTCCTGAAGAAGGAAGCTTCTTAATTAGGGGAAAATCTGGCTGTTTTCATCTTTCCTGGTTCCCCTGGCCCAACAAGTCATGTCAGCATGCCAGGGCCTTGTCACAGGTAGTGGGGGCAGATTTCAGCTGAGAAGGAAGCTTCTTAATTAGGGGAAAATCTGGCCGTTTTCATCTTTCCTGGTTCCCCTGGCCCAACAAGTCATGTCAGCATGCCAGGGCCTTGTCACAGGTAGTGGGGGCAGATTTCAGCTGAGGTCCTACCTTAACAGCCTGACAGCCCCCCTTGATTTATCCAAGGGGATTACAGTGGCAGCTCTGTTGCTTGGGTGACCTAGTCAGAATCTGATGGCGGACCTAACCAGAGGACAACAAGAGGTGTTCTTGGAATCTGGGAAGAGTCCTTAGATCTGGCTCATGATTACAAGATGCAAGAAGAAAGAGAACCTGTCCCCAGTCTCATAGAGATGACAGGCCTAGTTTTCAGGAAGCATTAGACACTGTGTATCCCTGCCCTTGGTAGGCAAGTGTCTCCTCAGTGCCTCTGACTCATGGAGACCAGGTGTGCAACACCTCCCTCACAGGGTTGTGAAGACAGAACCAAGTTGGCCAAGCACCTGGTGGTGGTTGTAGAGTGGTCACTTTGATCAGTGTCCTGGAAGAGGGACTCAGCTGTGAAAAGCCAGGCAGGTGGGAAGGGGCTGGGGGCTTGCCTTGCACCACCCCCACTCCCTTTTGAAATAAATGGCAAGCATTTATTTTAAAATTTTGGAGTTTGATCTTTACTTTGGCTTTTGATTTTTTTTAAATCGCATTTTTGTGTATTTCATACAGAAAATCATCTTTACAACCCCTTCCCCTTTGCCCACCTCCCATAGCCCCCCAGTAGAGTTCATACATTCTATCATTTGTGTTAAGGCCTATTATGTAAAGCTAGTGACCCCAGATGTCCCTCAGAGCAAGTTCATCCACTGGGGTTTAGCCTTTCTAAAGTCTCTCCCTTCAAGAGCATTCCTTCCTCACCCAGCAGTTACCAGCTGCCAATAATTCTTTGACTAAGATTGGGGCCTGCTGTTCATTTCCACAGTTCTGTGATGGTTTTTGTCTGCCTAAGTTTGCAATGGTATCGTGCATGCTGACACCATTGCTGTAGGTTTGTCTGAGAAGGGTCCCAGGCACCTGTAGGACCATTTCTGTATGGTCATGCACCTCCTCCCTGGCTCTTACAATCTTTCTGCCCCTTCTTCCACAATGGTCCCTGAGCCCTGGGTGGGTGGATTTTGATATGAGTCCTCCTGTCCAAGGACCCACACTTACTCTTTGTAATTTGGCTTTTTGAGACAGGGTCTCATTTAATCCAGGCTGACTTTGAAATTGCCATGTTGTCAAAGATGACCTTGAGTAGGGCCAGGCGTGGTGGCACACACCTTTAATCCCAGCACTTGGGAGGCAGAGGCAGGCAGATCTCTGTGAGTTCAAGGCTAGCCTGGTCTACATAGCAAGTTCCAGGCCAGCCGGGACTACAGGGAGACCCTGTCTCAAAAAAACAAACAAACAAACAAACAAAAACAAACAAAAAAAACCAAACAAACAAAAAAAACACCACCAAAAAAAAAAAAAAAAGATGACCTTGAACTACTTTCTTAAAATATTTAAAAATTTAGCTGGGCATGGTGGCCATCACACACCTTTAGGCAGAGGCAGGCAGATCTCTGTGAGTTCAAGACCAGCCTGGTCTACATAAAGAGTTCCAGACCATCCAGGACTACATAGTGAGACTGAGACCTTATCTCAAAATTAAACAAAAATAATTACTGTATGTGTATGCATGTGAGCTTGTGTCTTGGGGTGTGTGGGGTGTGGAGTCCAGAGGATAGCTTAGAGAAATTGGTTTTCTCCTTCCAGTGTGGGTTCTGGGGATTACACTCAGGTCATCAGCCTTTCTCTTTCATCTCACCGGTCCAGTTCCTGATCCTCTTGCCTCTGCCTCCTACTGGCTTCCAGATGTGGAGCTACAAAACCTGGCATTTTCAATTTAAAAAAAAAATTTTTTTTGTCTTTTTGAGACAGGGTCTCTGTGTAGCCCCAGCTGACCTGAACTCACTATGTAGACCAGGCTGGCCTTGAACTCACAGCCATCTGCCTGCCTCTGCCTCCCGAGTGCTGGGACTAAAGGCGTGCACCACCACACCCGGCTTTATGTGTATGAATGTTTTGTCTGCATGTGTGTAAGTGCACCCATGTCACAGTGCCCTCAGAGGTCAGAAGAGGGCATCAGATCCCCTGGAACTGGATTTAGGAATGGTTGTTAGCCACCATGTGGGTGCTGGGAATCAAACCTTGATCTTCTCCAAGAGCAGCCAATGCTCTTAACTGCTGAGCCATCTCTCCAGCCCCTCAATTTTTTAATTTTAGATAGCCCATGCAGGCCTGAAACTCATCACCTGCCTCAACCTCCCAAGTAGCTGAATTACAGGTAAGCACCACCAGCCCTGCCTTCCTCCCCTTCAAGCCTCTCCCCATCTCTAAAAGGATTCTTTGTGCCTTACACCTCCACTGGGATTGCCTGCCTATGGCTTAGGTCAGGGGTCCCTCAGCTCCTCAAGGTCTTCATGAAATCAGTGGACCAGGAAGGGGTGCGGTGCAGTACTCCACAGTCTCAGAGTAAGTGCCCACTTCTCATACTCCATGGCCCCAGGAACCTGGGGGCATCACTGTACCAAGCCTTATGCTCCTCTCGAGAAGCAGTCTCACAACCAGCCTTGGTGGGCATGCCTTTAATCCCAGCACTAGTGAGGCAGAGGCAGGCGGATCACTGTGAGTTCAAGGCCAGCCTGGTCTACATAAAGAGTTCCAGGATGGCTGGGTCTACAGGATGACCTTGTCTCAAAAAGTCAAAAAAAAAAGAAAGAAATTATGTTTCTATATATGTGTGTATGCTTGCTTGTCTATATATACACCACATGTGTACATGTGCCCACAGATGCCAGAAGAGGGTATCATATCCCCTGGAACTGGATACAGGTGGTTGTGAGGTACCCAATGTGAGTGCTAGGAACCAAACCAGGTTCCTCTCTCTGCAAGAACAGAAAGTACTCTTAACCCCAGAATCAGCCCCGCAACTTCCATTTTCATAGATGAGAAAAATGGAGGTTCAGAGTGACTAAGTCATTTGCCTGAAGTCACAGCTAAGTCATTTGCCAGAGTCACCCCCCCACTTCCATTTTCACAGATGAGAAAAATGGAGGTTCAGAGAGACTAAGTCATTTGCCTGAAGTCACAGCTAGTGTGAAACAGGTTTACCTCATTCCTCTGGCCAGTCCCTGTTACAGCAGAGATGAGACCTGCTCTGAGTGGAGTATTGTTAGTACAGTATGCGCCCCTGAATCCACAGTGCCTTCTACACAGGCACAGCCATCCCAAGGCAGTGCATTGTCCTGGGTGTCTAAGCCTCCACTGGAAAGGTGCCTCCTGTCCCCTGGCTGGGCCTGGCACTGGGTGCCCTCTCCACCCTTGGAAGGCTGCCTAGGCCACAGCTGTGTGCTTTCCTCACCCTCAACTGCTCTTGACCCTGGGCCAGACTGCCTCCCCCACTTTAATCTCCAACCCCCCTTGCACCTCAAGTTCCCTGCCTCCCAGTGAACACCCACTTTCCACTCTCAGCGGTGACAGGCTCCAGGGAGAACCTGAGTCATGCACAGGCCAGGAGTAAAGTTGGAGAAAGGGGGGGTGGGAGGCCTCAGAGAGGCCTCAGGGGACAGCATGTTCCCGCCAGCGACCTAGTCACGGGAGTTTCCACAGTGGCAAAGCCATCAAAGGAAAACAACCGACACCTTGGACATGGGTTAGACCCCCACCCCCACCGTGGGGAGTCACCCCACTCCCCACGACCCTGAGCGTCCTGTCCCACCCAGCAGCTGCTGGGTAAGGGTATTTATAGCCTGCGCATGAGTGGGCAAGGACACGCACTTTATTTCGGAAGTGATAATTCCAGTTCTTGGTGGATGAACCCTGGAGGACCAGCGTCCCCTCCACTACCCTCGCACCTACAGGACGCTGGGGACAGCAGTCCTTTGGCCCAACCCATCTGGAAACAGCCCCTTCTTACTGAGTTCCAAGCGTGCAGGCCAGAGTAAGGCTTTTCTGTCATATTCCTCCCCAATTTTCGGACTAAAGGCTGCATACACACCGCTCCTCCAGACCCCCCCTGCTCGCCCTCCCTCCAGCGGTCCTCAGCTCAATTCTTAGTCTGGTCTAGCGGTGGTTTGCGCCTGTAACCCTAACACTTGGGAAATTGAGGCAGAGAAAGTGCCTTGAGATTCAGGTCAACCTGGATTACAGAGTGAGAACCTGTCTCACCCACTTTCCCTCTTAAAAAACAAAATATTGCCGGGCGTGGTGGCGCACGCCTTTCATCCCAGCACTCGGGAATCAGAGGCAGGCGGATCTCTGTGAGTTCAAGGCCAGCCTAGTCTACATAGTGAGTTCCAGGACAGCTGGGGCTACAGGGAAACCCTGTCTCAAAAAGACCAAAAAAAAAAAAAAAAAAAAAAACCCCAAAGCAAAACCAAAGTCCATTTTTAAGAAGGGAGTGTGGTACGGATGCAGCGGATGACCTCTAGTGGTCGGGATCGGTAGTGCAGCGCTGTCAGTCACCAGCATCTCCTGAAGCTGGGATGTCCTGTGTTCCCCATTCACCTGGCTTCTCTGCCCATGTACACACCATATGGACAGAGTTTTCCCCCTTGCACACTATGTCCATGTGCTGCCACGCTGGTATCCAGTTGATACACTTGCAGCTATCAATTTCTTTGCGATGCACCTGTCAGATTAGAGAGAAGAGGGCAAGACCCGCCCTCCGGGTCTCCCAATCCGTCCCGGGTCCAGCCAGCATGAATCCGAGGAGGTGGACGAGGATGGGGGTCCGGCGCGGATCGGAAGGCAGGTTCCAGCCAGCTCTGCAGAGAAGCATTTCAGGAAAAGGGACCTGCCTGCTCCGAGGGAGACTGTGCCTTCTCGGGGAGGCCACGCCCTTTAGGACACCCTGGCCATGATTGGCCGACCTGGATAGGTTTAAACGAATCCAAGGTCTTGATTGGTCTTCTCGTGTCCCGGTGCAGCCCAGCTCCTCAGCACCCCTGGGACCTTAGCGCCACTCTAGGGCTTCTCCAAGCTGCGGTACTTTTTGCGTTGCACGGACACCGGGTCCTTGAACAGCACGGGGTCCAGACGCACGCGAGAGGACACCAGAGGCATGTGGCCGAACTCTGCTACCATCCGGTTGATGCAGTCCTGGCCCAGGGGCTGCGTCTCTGACCCCAGCCCAGGACCCCCAGGGGCCTAAAATGGAAGAGAAGATTGATGAGCTAGCTACTTTCTTTTTCTGAGCCTCTACTCCTGCAGCAAGAAAGATTTGGATTAGACATGGAGGGGAGATTGACTTCCCCTTCTATCCCCCACCCCAAGAGCGCACACTGTCCTGGAGTCCCCTCACCAGTGGAGCAGGCTCCGGGTGCTTCCTCCCACAGGGCACCTTGATAGGGGGCAGTTTGGTAACAGCTGCTACTAGGAAGTTCATCAGGACGTCCACACAGGTGGGAGTCTCATCTACTAGGGTCCTCAGCGCCTTGGGTAGGGAGTGGGTGAAGAGGGTGTGGTAGTACCTGGGCAAGGGGGAGACAGAGGCTGCAGCCAGGCTCCATTCTCCTGCCTTTGACCCCAGTTCTCAAAGCCCCTTTCCAAAGCTTCTCTCTGTCTTCCCCTTTGCCAAATGTCTGGGCTCTCAAGTCTGAACTCTGGCACAGCCAGACTTACTGGGAGTTCTTGTTTGATGGTTCCAAAGCCATCAAACATGTCTGCCCAAAGACCAGTCTCAGGCTGTAAATGAATCACTTTGATGCTGCTCCCAAGAGCCTTGCTTCTGTGATGGCCCCCTAAGAGGACAAGCTCAGCTCATCCTGCACACATGAGGGCTACTGTTCACTCTGACAGTTCCCAAAGAACTCCTGGAAAAATCCACAGACAGTTCCATGTCATACCAATGCCGTTTAAACAGGTTAAAGAATGTTTTCAAGAGTGCTTGTAGAGAGTCAGGCTTGGTGGTGTTCACCTGTAATCCTAGCACTCAGGAGACTAAAGCAGGAAGATCACAAGTTTGAGGCTACACAGTGAAAATAATTTCTGAAACAGGGCCTCATGTATCTCAGGCTGGCCTCAAACTTTATATGAAGCTGAGGGTGACCTTGAACTCATCTTCCTGCTTCCACCAAATCAGTGCTGGGATTACAGGGGTGAGCCATCACACCCAGTTTTATGAACTACTGGAATCAAACCCAGGGCTTCATACATGCTAGACAAATATTCTACCAACTGAGCTACATCCCTAGCCCAGCCCAATAACACCCTGTTTCAAAAACCTAAAACAAGTGAGATGTCCCCAAGGATCACATCACTGGGAAGTGGCAGATCATAGGCCTTGAACCTGGACTCTGAGCTGGAAGCCCTCCACATTCTGGTCCAGGGCTGAAACCTCTGGTCCTGTCTCCCCTGTTCTGGGACTGGTGTTTGCACCTGTGGTAGAAGGCTGCTGTGGTGAGGACCATGGAGAATTCATTGGCCATCTTAGCACTGTAGCTCCAGCCACCCCGGGCCTCATCCCAGGAGTGGTTCCAAGTCAGAAAACCAACAATCCGCTCTGGAAAACTTTGCCACACTACAAAGGCAAAGTCCACCTGCAGAGGGATTTAAGAAAACTGTGAGGAGGGGCTTCCTGACAAAAATTCTTACAGTCTATGGTAAAGGGCTGGGGAAGGACTTAGGGGACAAGGAATGGGAGCCATTCCTTGGGGTTGTGTAGACATTTAATATAAGTGTTTCAGGGGGATACTTGGGGAAACTTGCCCAGCTGGGAGTCGGCTGTGTTATGCCTCTGTTTGAAGACCACCACAGGAAGAGTCAAGCTCAGGACTTCAGAACCTGAGGGGGCTTCAGTGCCCTCAGGCTCTATTCCTACCACCCTGGACTTCTCTTGGGCCCAGCCCTCACCTCACTGGTAGAAAGAGTACTGTGGGCATCGAGGCTGAGTATGGCACTGGTGCTGATGGTGCTGTACGGGAAGAAGCGGTCACTGGCCTGTAGTGGGGAGGGGAAGGTAAGAGTATCTCAGCAATGAGAACCCCCCTACCCCATACCCAGTTAGTAGGAGCCCTTCAGACAGGGTGTGGAAGGAAGGGCCAGGAGTGCTGGAGCCTGTCCACAAGCTTGGACCGTCATTTCCTTTTGGGCTGTAGGAGCCCTTTACCATCTCAGATTCCCTCTGTCTTCACATCAGATGTGCATATCAACCCTAGGAGGGGCAGGCAAACATCCCTTATTTGAAAGGATCAGGTCTGGAAAAATGAAGTCTTGCTCAGAAGCACGGGGACAGCAGATGGCGCCTGCTTGCCCAGGTTTCCACAGCCTCCACCCCTCCGGGCTCAATTTGCCTCCCTCTATCTGTATTTCCCCATGATCCCAGGCTTCTCCCTACCCCTCATCTGAAATACCTCCCACCACAGTCTCCTGCATCCCACATCATATGAATCCCAGTGCTCTAGAAACACATTTCACAGGGTCAGGGAGAAAAGAGTGCCATTTGTTTTGAGCTGCTGTGGATGGAACCCAGGACCCTGTACATGCCAGGTGAATTGCTGTAAGACTGGGCCCCAGCCCTAGCATAAGCACATCATTCCTGTAAGACCTGCAGCCAGAACCTATGGTCTGATTCCTGCAGGGCTATCTAGAAGTCCAACTTTGACTCAGGACACCCAGTGTCTGCCCTCTCCGGTCTGTAGTCAGAGCCTAGCTCTTCTTTGCCTCCCCGCCTCACCTTCCTGTGCCCCTCAATGACTGTCAAAGGCACTGTTGTCTTTGGCCACCTGTCAGGGAGTGGCTTCTCACTGCTCCAGAGTATCAGGATCTAGGAGGAAAGGGGATATGTCTGGAGTCTGGAGTCTGGGGCAGAAGGGGAGTCTCGGGGGTGATCTTTCTCAGAGTGGAAGTGGTGTGGGAAAGGGGCTACTTATGCACGCACCAGGGGCGCTCAGTCATTGTCATCCTGGTCTTGCCTCTGATTATGTGGAAAGCAAGAATTCTGGTTGAGCTAAGTGTGGGGGCACACAACTATGTAAACCCAGCGCTTTGGAGGCAGAGGCAGGCAGATTTCTGTGAATTTGAAGCCAGCCTGATCTACATAGCAAGTTCTGTTCCAGGTCAGCCAGAGTTACATAGTGAAACCCTGCCTCAAAAAAAAGAAAAAAGAAAGAAAGAAGAAAGAAAGAAAGAAAGAAAGAAAGAAAGAAAGAAAGAAAGAAAGAAAGAAAGAAAAAAAAAAAATTCTAATTGTGAGCTCTGACTTTCTGTGTCATCTACATCTCTCTAAGGTCTGCGTCCTCCCCCTGGTCACTTCCTGCTCAGCTCAAATGTTCCATTTATGGACATTCCTGGTCTAGCTGCTTCCTTCCTTTGTCCCTTTGTGAGGGTCTACCTGGATTCTCTGACCTTTTTGTTTTATTTTAAGGCTTTTGAAACAGGGTCTTGTTATAAAGCCCTGGCTGGCCTGGTATTCACTGTGTAGCCCAGGTTAGCATCTAACTCTCGACATTCCTCCTGCCTCAGCCTCCTGAGTGTGTGATCCATCGTGAGTGACAACCTGGCTTCTTTCAAAATGAGATTTGACAGTGTGAGCACAGGAAACAACAACTAGGGCAGAACCCTCTCCTACTTTCTCTTTGCATCCTCAGTGCAGGTTCCCAGGGTCTGGCGAGGAGAGTGACTGCCGAGTAAATTAATGGGTGAATGTTTATCTCTCCAGCCTCATCCAACTTTTCAAGAGTTTTACCAGGTCTCTAGAAGTTCACAGGAAAAGAGCAAGAAACCTGAGGCTTGGGACTAGAGAGATGGCTCGGAGGTTAAGAGCACCGGCTGCACTTTCAGGGACTCAGGTTGGGTTCCCAGCACCCACACTGCAGGTAACAACCATCTGTAACTCCAGTTCCAGGGGATCTGATGCCCTCTTCTGACCTCTTCTGGCATTGCATGCATGTGGTACATTTACATACATGCAAGGCAAAACATTCATACACATAAAATAAATAATTTTTTTGTTTGTTTTTTTGAGACAGGGTCTCCCTATAACGCCAGCTGGCCTAGAACTCACTATGTAAACCAGGCTGGCCTCCAACTCACAACTCACAGAGATCTGTCTGCCTCTGCCTCTGCCTCCTGAGTGCTAGGATTAAAAAAAGGTGTGCACCACCAAGCTGGCAAGATAAATTAAAAAAAATTTTTTTGGTCTTTTTGAGACAGGGTCTCCCTATAAGCTCCCCCCACGGCCAGGAACTTGGTAGACTGGGCTGGCCTTGAACTCAAGAGACCTGCCTGCCTGTGCCTCCAGAGTACTGAGTAAAGGTTTTTTTAAAAAGAAATCTGATCCCTTAAAGGGCTTCAACAGATCCAGGTTACATTCCATCTCTGAAACAGTAACCCTGAAAATCACTTACTCCAGATGGATTGAAATTGGGGAATGGATATAACCCATCTTCACTATGAAAATATAGAGATTCAACTTAAAAGCTGTTCACCAGAACATCTGAACTAGAGTTTCGGTTGAATCCACGTATATAGCCTCCAGGCAGGGGTGCAAAAAACAGAAATCTGAGACTTAAAGAAGTCACCAAGAACCCTTGGAAATCCTCTCTGTGCCTCCCCCCAAAATGTGTGGTCATCTAGGGCCCTGCCCTGTTCCCTGCTCCCACCCAGAACCCCAGGACTACAGCTGTCAAGGGGGCAGACCTGGGCACAGTGCCTGGAACCTGCCACGGCCTGGATGAGCTTCAGGGGGGGCTGGCCAAGGGCCCCCACCCAGATCAGGGCGCTGAATCTGCTCTCAGGGTGGGAGCCTGGGGGAAGGAGACACAGGCTGTTAGGAGGGAGAAGATGGAGCCCCCTGGAGAGGGAACTGGGTGGGGAACCCCCCAAGAACCAGAGGAGATGTTGGGGCTTGGGAGGATCTCTGTGGATGAAGCTGGGGCAGACCTAGGGAGAGTTTAGGGTACCCAAGTTGATCCACCCACAGGACATACCCTGTTGCAAGAAGTAGAAGGGGAAGTCCTGGGGGCTCATGGAAAAAGTGGGCAGGGCCAGGAGTGCCCCTGGAGGGCTGTTCCACAGCAGCGAGGAATGAGCAGATGCACCCCAGATACGGTCTTGAATGATCTATGGAAGAAGAAGGAAGCTGTGGGGAGGAAGAGGCTAGTGTGGAAGGTGCGGACAGCAGGCTATGGGTGAGGCCTGAGGAAGGGAGTGGTGGGGCATGAACAGGGGTGGGGCCTGGGGAGGGCGGGACCTATGATGGTGGGTGGGGGAATGGGAGGAGATAACAACCTGGCACAGTCCCACCCGCCTCCTTCAGGTTGTGCAGATAGGCTCAGCCACATCACCTAGAGCACCTAGAGAAGCTGGAGCCCAAATCTAGAGACTTCTGTACTGTACGTAGTCAGTCTACAGATGGCAGATGGTGACAGGTTCAGGGCCTTCCTTCCCTTCCTCACTCCCCGCAGACACAACTGCACAGTCATGCCATTCTTTCAGGACTCAGAATCCTGAAAGATCCAGAGACTCTAACCCAACACCCCAGACAGCTACTACCATCAACTAGAGTTAGCACATGCTTGGAATCCATGGGCCATTGCAGTCCCCCCTACAGACAAGGGAAACGTGTCCAAGATCTCACAGCCAAGTCTGATGCACTACAGAAGCATCAAAAAAGGAACTCCAACACAGGGAGGAGACTTCCAGGGAGAGGAGGATGGAGGGGGGAGAGCTGGAGAGGAGCCCCGGGGTCCTACAATGGGCCCCCCTTGGGGCCCCTGCAGATGAGCCCCTCTCACCTCTAGAGTGGTATGGATGACCTTTTCCACTGAGGAGAAGTAAGCGTTCCACAGAAACTGGGTCTGTTGGCGCAGGGTGAGAATTCGTCCAGGGAGCATCTCTCGGAGGGCAGCTAGGACCTAGAGGCACAGAGCGAGAAAGAGGAGGTCTGGGGCCTTATCAGGTCCTGACTGACCCTGAGAGGGCAACCCTGGAGCCCAGGCTCTGGGAACCAGCAGCTTTCTTTCCATGGTTCTTAAGGGCCGCACTTGGCCCAGCCCCCAGTAGCATGGCCCTTGTGTCTACAGTCACACAGAGCTAGTTTTTGTTGTTGTTGTTGTTTGTTTGTTTTTGAGTCTTTCTGAGTCAGGGTCTCCCTGTACCCCCCGCTGACCTGGAACTCACTATGTAGACCAGGCTGGCCTTGAACTCTTGAATTCACAGAGATCCTCTTGCTTTTGCCTCCCAAGTGCTGGGACTAAAGGTGTGAGCTACCACGCCTGGCCAACACAGAGCTAGTTTAAGTGCCATTTATTGTTTGAGAAAGTGACACATGCCTGTAAATTCCAGCACCTGGGAGACTGAGGCTGGAGGATCCCAAGTTCAATGCCAGCTTGGACCACAATTGGTAGAGTCCTTGTCTCAAAACAAAACAAAGTAAAAAATTCAAAAGGTGGAGATATGGTTCAGTTGATAAAATGTCTGCCCAGCATAGACAAGGCCCAGGTTTGATCCTTAGAACCACATAAACTGGGCATGATGGCACATGCCTGTAATCCCAGCACTCAAGAGGTGGAGGAAGAAGGGTCAAGATCAGCCAGGTGTGGTGGTGCATACTTGGGAGGCAGAAGCAGGTGGATCTCTGTGAGCTCAAGGCCAGCCTTGTCTATATAATGAGTTCCAGGACAGCTGGGGCTACAGAGAGACCCTGTCTTAAAAAGACCGAAAAAAAAAAAAAAAAAAAAAAAAACCAAAGTAGAGAGGGGAGACAGGAAGCATGTGACTGATCACTGTTGCAGCTTTCAGTCTCCGTTTCTCCATCTGTGGAATGAGGATAGCATAGCCATCATAGGCAGTTGTAAAGACTTGATTAGAACATACCTATGAAGTGCTTAGCTGGGGTCGGGCTTGGTGACTAAATTGTGACTATTGTTTGGGGGTTTGTTTTAAATATTTTTTACTATTTTTAGTGATGTGTGAGTGTGTGTGTATGTGTGTGCATGCCACGTGTGTGCCTGCTTTTGGAGGCCAGAAGAGGGCGTTGGATGACCTGGAGCTAAAGCTCCAGTCTGTTGTGAGCCACTCAGTGTGTGTGCTGGGAAGCACTCTCCAGGTCTCTGGAAGAGCAGCAAGTACTCCTAACCACTGAGCCATCTCTACAGCCCCAGTTGTTTTTGTTCTTGTGTTGTTTTTTCCTTTGAGACAAGTTCTCACACATAGCCCAGGCTGGCCTCGAACTTGCTACATAGCTGAAAATGATCTTGAGCTCCTGATCTTCCTGCCTCCCTCTTCCTGGGGCTGGGATTATAGGCATGGCCACCATGCCCAGTTAAAGAGTGACTACTGCTCATTTTCATGTCTCTCTCCTCCCTCCTCCCCCAATCAAGACAAGCTCATGTATGTTCTTCAGACCATGGAAAACTTCATCAGATGGAACCACAGGGGCTTGTGCGTTTCTACCCCAGGGCCCATGGGTCCCTTCAGCGAGCTGGTATCTTGGGATCATGTGGTTTAATTTATCCCCTTGTAGCAATGGGGAAACTAGGACTTGCTCTCAGCATCTTCCAGAGGCTTCACCTTCCTACATCTATGGGTAACCCAGAGGGGGTTTGGGGGCTATGAAAATTAACCATGTGAGTGGACAAGAAGGACTGAGGGGCTGGTTGTGGTGGCACAAGCCTTGAATCCGTCTTTAATCCCAGGATGAGGGAGGCAGAGGCAGGCAGATCTCTGTGAGATAGAGGCCAGTCTGGTCTACATAGTGAGTTCCTGGCCAGCTGGGGCTACAGGGAGACTGAAGCCAGTAGGGGGGGTGTTGCAGGATCCTGGGGCCTCTACCATGACCCCCTCACCACCATGGGCTAGACCCTAAGCTGAGCTACCTGCTGTGGGAGCCTCTCATCAGCAATGATGGCTGCCTTGGTCCAGTCGATGACCTCAGAGAACGGCAGCTCCCAGCGGGGGCTGAGGAGCACAGGGATACAGCCAGCCTGGGGGGGGGGGGGAGTAGGGCAGTCATTGGGGAGCCCAGCCCCTCCCCGCACACACTTACCACCACCCCAGTCCAAGGCAACAGCCCCTGCTGTTAGGGGAAGGGATAAAGAGAGGAGGGTGTTTGGGGAATTGGGGACAGGCTGTTGCTCTACAGAGGGCCCAGTGAAGGTGGACACAAGCACACTTGAACCCCAGAGTAAAGACATGGACAGCATCCTTCCTATGGGTCAGTGCCCAGTGTTCCTGCTAGTTCAAGAGTATAGGGACAGAGGCTGGGGATACTAGGGCTGGGGTTGTACCTGAAGGGCCTGGAGGAAGTGGGAGGTGGCAGGTCGGTGGCCAGGAATGAGGCAGAATGTGGCATTAGGTAGCATTTCTCCCAGTTGGGTCCTGAGGAAGCACAGGAGGGCCCTGGACATAGGGGCCTAAGTCCGCTGCTCTTCACTCTGCTTGGCATGCCCAGTGACCCCTAAAACCTTGTGGTGAAAGCCAAAGGGTGCAGACCCCCACTGTGTCCACAGATAAACACACGGCCACACACAGTGACACAGACAGAAGCAGCAACCTGGACCCTTGTCCATTCACTGCTCCACCAGGATCCAGAAGCCCTGGGTGCTACCTCTGTCCTTGGCAGCCTTAGATGCTTCCCTCTGGTCCTTATACCCCAGTTTCCTCATCTACAAGATGGGAGGTGTGGGGATCTGATGTCACCCAGGCTTATTCTACTGCTCTGCCCTGGGCACTCTTGGGCACCCCTAACCTGAGTGACCTCCACACCCTGCCCTCCCCATCACCTGAGTGACCTCCACACCCAGCCCTCCTCCTCACTCGAGTGACCTCCACACCCTGCCCTCCCCATCACCTGAGTGACCTCCACACCCAGCCCTCCCCCTCACCCGAGTGTCATCCATACCCAGCCCTCCCCCTCACCTGAATGACCTCCACACCCAGCCCTCCCCCTCACCCGAGTGACATCCATACCCAGCCCTCCCCCTCACCTGAGTGACCTCCACACCCAGCCTTCCCCCTCACCTGAGTGACCTCCATACCCAGCCCTCCCCCATGGTCCCTGCCCATGAAAGGCTTCTCTGTAGTGAAGTGGGCTGGGCCTCTAGCCTGGAACCACACAGGAAGCTCTTGCTCACAGGCCCCTCTTGGAGGACAGGCCTCCTCTGTTCCCCCAGCCCCAGGGCCATGCTCAGGCAGTGCCAGTGTGTGTATGTAGGAGGGCCCAGAGCCACAGCGTCCTCGGAGCTACATCTCTAGGACTGTCTGCCCAGGGAAGTGATGCCCATGATACAGCTGCAGTAGAAAGGCTATAGGGAACCCCTGGGCACACAGGGTGCTCCGTGAGGCACATGAATGGGGCCACCCAGGACTCTCCTCAGCTGCAGCCTCTGCTCTGAGCCTGACTTCAACAGGCAGACCTGGGGGCATCAAGCAGCCTCTGCAGCAGCCCCACTGAACAGGAGAGGAAACTGAGTCCCAAGGAGGGGCCCAGGCTGTGGTTAGAACCAATAAATGCCAATTCCAATCCCTAGCTATGTCAGCCTTCCTGAGGTACTGCTTAGGGGTCTCCAGAGGAGACTACCCTTAGTTTACCACTCTGTATTCAGAGGCACTGGGAGCCTCTGGATGGAGCCACATATTAAACATCAGTCCCCCATCACATCAGAAGCCACGGCACTGGCTAAGCAGGTGCAGCTCCCCTCCAATTAGCTGTAAGGTAAGTAAGCAGCTGCTGAATGAGCACCTGTGTGGGGCTCAGGGAAAGCAATACAGGGAGGAACTTAGGCTTCTGTGTGGTGAGCAAAAAGTCTTAGCATCCTGTGACTTTTTTTTGTCTTTTGAAGACAGGGTCTCATTGTAGCCCCAGCTGTTCTAGAACTCACTATGTAGACCAGGCTGGGCTTGAACTCACAGAGATCCACCTGCCTCTGCCTCCCAAGTGCTGGGATCAAAGGTGTGTGACACCATGCTCAACTTTTGTGGTATGTACTGCAGGCTCAGGTTCTATGGGGCCCAGCTCTGACATTGTAACTTCCATGTGCTCCAAGTACTTTGGCCTTTGCAGTCACTACTGTTATATGCAAAAAAATTATAAATAATATTTGACAATTGTTTTGATATAAAAACAATGTTATATATCAAAACATTTTCCTCTACCTAAATGTACAAACTTTCTCCTCTTGACGCTATTTTTAGAATATATTTTTTTTAATTTTTATTTTTTGGTCTTTTTTAAGACAGGGTCTCCCTGTAGCCCCAGGCATCCTGGAACTCACTATGTAGACCAGGCTGGCCTTGAACTCACAGAGATCCACCTGCCTCTGCCTCCTGAGTGCTGGGATTAAAGGTGTGTGCCACCACACCCAGCTATTATTTTTATTTTTTTATTTAATATTTTATTTATTATTTTTATTTTATGTGTATGAGTAGTATGCCTGCATATAGGTAAATGTACCCGTGTTGTACAATGCCCACGGAGGACAGAAGAGGCTGTCGGATCCCCTGGAACTGGAGTTACAGACAGTTGTTAGCTGCCATGTGGGTGCTGGGATTCAAACCAGGGTCTTCTGCAAGAACAGTCAGTGTTCTTAACCTCTGAGCCATCTCTCCAGCCCTATTATTTTTATTTTATGTGTATGAGTGTAGCACCTGCATGTATGTAAGTGCACCTGTGTCGTGCAATGCCCATGGGGGTCAGAAGAAGGCACTGGATCCCCTGGAACTGGTGTTACAGACAGTTGTTAGCTGCCATGTGGGTGCTGGGAATTGAACCCAGATCTTCTCCAAGAACAGCCAGTGCACTTCAGCCCCTTCTGATGCTATTTTCATGTGCCCCTAAAAGGTCTCTGAGTTCTTGACATTGTACCTCGTACATCTAGTGGGTGTGGATGGGAGAATGTTGAAACACACACTGAGTTTACTTAAAAATAGGGGAAAAGGGCTAGAGAGATGGCTCAGAGAAGCACCAGATGCTCTTGCAGAGGACCCGGGTTCGGTTCCCAGCACCCACATGATGGCCAGCAACCATCCTTAAGTCTAGTTCCAGGGGATCCAATGCCCTCTTCTGGCCTCCTTGGGCATTGCATGTATGGGTGCATTTACTACATACATGGAGACAAAACATTCATACACATGAAATTTAAAAATTAATAAATAAAAATAAAATAAAACAAAGTGGAGAGCAATCAAAGAAGACACCATCAAGGTTGGCCTCCACATGCACACACATGCACATGCCCTCCCATGTGTGCCTACACACATTTGAGCTTCCATACATACATGCACATCACACACACATACCCATTTTTAAAATGGGTTAGGTGGTGCACACTTGCAATCCCAGCACTTGGGAGGTCGAGGCAGAAAAATTAGGAGTTCAATACTATCTTCAGCTATATTATGAATTCAGTAAGTTCAAAGGTAGCTTAGGCCACATGAGACTGCCTCAAAAAAAGAAAGAAAAATGCTGGAGACCTAAGTAAGAACACACACTGCTCTTGCAGAAGACCCAAGTTTGGTTCTCAGCCTCCACATCTGGTGGCTCATAATTGCCTGTATGGAATTCCAGGGAATCTTGACACTGTGAGTCTGGCTTCCATGGGCATCAGCATTTACGTGCACATACCTACACATATACACACAATTTAAAAAATGATAAATCTTTAAAAAAAAAAAAAAAAAAATCACACTTAGGGCTGGAGAGATGACTCAGTGGTTAAGAGCACTGGCTGCTCTTGCAGAGGACCAGGGATCCAGTCCCAGTACCACATGGCGGATAACAACTGTCTGTAACACCAGTTCCAGGGGATCCAATGCCTTCTTCTGACCTCCAAGGGCATTGCACTTACACAGATGCAGGCAATCCACTCATACACATAAAATAATATAAATAATAATTTTTTTTGTCTTTTTGAGACAGGGTCTCCCTGTAGCCCCAGCTGTCCTGGAACTCACTATGTAGACCAGGCTGGACTTGAACTCACAGAGATCCACCTGCCTCTGCCTCCCAAGTGCTGGGATTAAAGGTGTGCGCCATTATGCCCAGCAGATAAAATATTTTTTAAAAAACCAAATAAACAGAAAAAAAGGGGGCAGTGGAGGGTCTGTGTATACATCCTACTCCCCACACAGAGCCCTTCAGAAAAGACACATAAAGCTGAAACCAGAGCTTGGTTCCAGGAAGGAAACCTGGGTGGTTGAGCCAGGTGGGGAGGGGGGACTTTGACTGTGTACCCTTTGTACCTTTGGAATTCTACACTCTGTGAATGAATCACCTATTCATAAAAATAAAGAAATCACAATTTCAATGGGCAGGCCCTTATTCCAAAGCAACAGGAGATTATTCAACCAAGGTGGAAAAACACTGGCATTGGAGCCAGAAGTGGGACATGCAATTCCAACTCCAGCGCTCCTGAGTTCCTGATCAGGAAAGTGAGGGGCCCTACTCAGCAGAGAACCTTGTCATCTAAGGCTTCGCCAACTGCTTGAGCCTGTTTCCTGTGCTGGAGATGGGGACTGATGCCTCCTGTGGAGGATGCTAGGAGAATCCACAATGACAGAGGAAAGCTGTAGGCACTGCCCTGACCCCAGACTGACACTCCACACTCCCAGGCCACCTCCCAATCCTGCCAGGGAATGAGAGACTGTGGGACTGCCCTGCCTTTTTCTCTGGCTGGCGTTTTATTCAGGCCGACTTCTGAGGCTGGCCCTGTGGCTGTCTACCTCCTTCTCTCTCCCTGTTCCTAAACTCATCATTAGAAACGTTACCCACAGCAGGGTGGCATGGCACTCAACAAATGAAATCTCAGCACTTGGGAGACAGAGCCTCAACAATCACTGCAAGTTCAAGGCTAGCCTGGTCTAGGGTGTTCCAGACCAGCCTGGGCTTTATATTGAGACTCCATCTCAAAAACAAACAAAACACTTGCTGGACTCAGTGGCGCACACCTGTAGACCCAGCACGCAAGAGGCAGAGGCAGGGGGAATCTCTGTGAGTTCGAGGCCAGCATGGTCTACATAGTGAGTTCCAGGTCAGCTGGGGCTACAGGGAGACCCAGTCTCACAAAACAAAACAAAACAAAACAATAAAACAAAACAAAACAAAACAAAACCACCTGTATCCAGGAATGGCCGGAGCTATACTGAAACAACTTTCAAACTCAGCACATATAGTAGCAACCAAAGTCAGCCCAATGGGAGACTTCTGAAGGGCCAGCAAGTGCAGAGTGGGAAGAGGGAGGGAGGGCCTGGTGACCAGGGAGCCTCTCATGAAATGAGAGGCCATCAGGCTCTGGGCTCTAAGCTTGAGGAGCCCCAAGTTCTCTAGCCCCCAAAAGGACCAGCTGTAGGAAAGACAAGGCCCCTTTGTACCCCACAAATAGGCTCCCTGGAGATCTCTCTGTACCTTCAGGAGGGGGAAGGATTGCACCCCCCATCCTCCTACCCCTCTCCCACTCCCCCAGCCCTAGGCTGAGGGAAGCCCCAGAACACCAAGCAGAGACAAAATTGGAAAGCAGCCACAGGAAAGAGTCCTGGGGGAAGCGAAGCTCAGAATAGCTGTGTTGGAGGTTGGGGAGGGAGATTATGGGAGGAGGCACCAGAGACACCTGAGGGACTGGAAACTCAGTGGGGCGGGAGGGCAGTGCAGTGCAGAGGGAACCATGGGCCCCTTCCAGCCTGAGCACCTTAGAAGGACTAGCACTTTTGCCCACCCCTGGGGCCACCCTTTGGAAACGACAGTCTCCTGAAGACACAGGGGTTTGGGTGATGAGGAATGGACGGCTCCCCACTCCCACTCCAATACCCCAAGTCAGCACAGGTGGTGGGAAGTTCCTCTATAAACTCACATGTGTCATCCCCACCCCTGCCAGGCTCCCTCCCCTTATATGTCTATGCAGACACTCTCACTAGTAGCAAGTTCTTCTTTAGATCTGACCTAAGTCATATTTGCTTTAACCAAAGGCTGTTATTTCCTTGAGAGATTAATCTCCAAAATTAGACACCAGAACAGCTTCCAGCTAGGAGCAGTTACTAATTTGCATGACTTCTTTGTCAGGGTTGATCGTAAGTAAAACTCAGCACTGTCCTGCTGAACTGAAAACTCTAGCTGTACTCATTCTGGTTGGGTGGCCTCCCATCTTTACTCTGGTGTATAACACTTAAGTGACAGCAGTTAGTATTATTTTATTATACACAATCATCAGTTCCTTTGTGTGCGTGCATGTGTGGAGGCCACAGGCCTCTTCCTCGATTGCTCTCTTCCTTATTTTATTTTTTAACACCTATTTATTGCGTGAGTGAGTGCATGTGGAAGTCAGAGGACAACTCTCAAGTCTCAGTTCTCTTCTGCCATGTGGGTTCCAGGAATCAAACTCAAGTCCTCAGACTTGGCAGCAAGCGCCTTTACCCACGGAGCCCTCTCACCAACCTCTCTACCTTAGTTTTTGATATCTCACCAATTCAGTTAAGACATTTGGCTAGGGCCCTAGGATCCTCCTGTTTTTTACCTCCCTAGCACTGGGCTTTTATACAGGTTCTGGGGCTTGAACTCAGGTCTTCATGCTTGTAAGACAAGCACTTTATGACTGAGCCCTCTGCCCAGCCCATTATCATCGTTTATAAAGGTGCTGAGCACAAAGTAAGCACCATACAAGTGTATGTTACACAAAATGTCAGAGGAATTGGAATAGGAGAAAGGGAGGAAGCAGCAGTGAGCTATGTTTTGTTTCAAAGACACCCCCAAGGGAGAACTCACAAGTCTGCTTTTCCCATTCCTTGAAGTAAATCACCTTGGTGGAAGTTCACTCTGCTATCTAACCTGATTCCTTCCTGCTGCAACTGAAACTTACCAGAACTAGCTCCTTCTCCATCTCAGTTCTGCCCTTGACTCCATCTTCTGGGCTTACTCCCATCACAGCCCCCCTCCCACTCAGCTCCCCAAAGGGTGGGTTCACTTACTGTTGGGGTCTGGGATGCAGATCACAGTGCTCATCCCAGGGGCAGGCGGAGTCCTGGATACCTGCGATGCGCCACCCGCCCCTCTCTTCTGCTACGGCTAGCCAGACTGCCCCTGAATGGGGGCTGTGCTGCTGCAGCTGGCCAGGAGCCCCACCTTGCAACGGATGGTCTTCAGGGAGGAGCGGGAGCGCTACATCAAAGCCGGGTCGGAAGATGTCTGCTGAGGGGCTGGCCTCGGCCACCATCACCTGTCCCCGGTGGGTGCAGAGGGCTGGGTGGAGACTGAGGACCAGATGGTTCTTGCCAGCACTCCAGTGTGGAGGCAAAGGCTGGCAAACTCCTCTCTGGTCCAAGCTGGGGAGGAAGAGGAGGAGGCAAGCCTCCGATGTGTTGGGTGTGTGGTAGCCAGAGGTTTCCAGGGAGGCCAGGATCCTTTGAGGAGCCTCAGAGGTCGGGCTAGCCAGGGGGAGCACAAAGACCTTAAGACCATTGCCTCTACATTTGGAGGTGTCAAAGCACGTTCCCCAGGAGCAGCTGCTCCCCCGGGGGGCTTGAGGAAGCTGTGGAGCATCTTCTGGGGGCTCCCCAGGCTGGGAGAAACTAGATAGGAATGCAGCATCCAGCCAGTGGGGCCAGCCTTGGGGGTGTCCTGGAGGAGGCTTGGGTGGCACTGCCAGGCGGAAAAGGGGGCAGATCCCCAGGAGGATGAGGAGGAGCCAGGAGGCAGACAGTGCCAGCCAGAGGGACTTTCTACAGGGCTGCATGTGGCCACCCACAGCCAGGGCTAGTAGGGCACTGGGAATCTCTGTAATGAAGAAAGTGGGGACCCCAGGGCAGGAGACAGGAGCTGGGATCAGCCTTCTAGTCCAGCGTTGTCATTACATGTATGGGGAGTCTGAGGCCCATGGAAGGCAGGCTCCTTGCCTAAGTGCAAATAGCGAATCATTGGCCACCTGTGGGACTGGCCACTCGTGGGAGGCCAGCCAGGCCCGGTCTCTCTGCACCTGCTGTCTCACTCTGGGGCAGTCCCTCTGCCTTTACACAACCAACCCAGCCTTTGCCCTCCCTGCCCTGGGCCACTGCTTGGACTGATGCAACCCTTGTCCAGACCACAGGGCCTTGTCCCTCTGCTCTCCCAGCTGCACGCCCTGACCTTGTCCTTGACCCAGAGGCAGGCTGTCTGCCAGGCCATGGAGAACTGGTCAGGGCTCACACAGGGGGCCGTCTGGTCATGGGGCAGCCTGGTCTCTCCCACTCCTCCCTCTACCCAGACAGCCTTGGCGCAGCCCTGGCTACCCCTGCGTTCCGTGGTGGTTGAAGCTTCTGTGGCCAGAGCTAAAAATAGATCCTGTGTCCATGTGGGCCATCAGAGCCAGCTGAAGTCATAGCCCGGGTGCCTGCTGCCTGGGGGCTCAAAGGGCTCAGGGTCCTGGTCTCCGTCCCTTCTGCCATGGCCCCCAGTCAGGGCAGCCAACCGCTGTGCAACCCCGCAGCTGCCCTGCACCCTCCCCTGCGACCTATCACAGGGCAGAAGGCAGGACCTCCAATCCAAGCCCCGGCCCCAGCCCCAGGGCCCTGCGGGTCAGCTCCAGGTCTCTCTTCGGGAGGCAACTGGCGGGTCCAGATTGCTTACCTAGCAGCAGCCTGGCCCCGCCCCCGCCAGCCCTGATTGGCTCCTGGTTGGGAGGCAGGGTCTCCACTTAACCCTTTACAATCCCCTCTCCAGGAATGCTGCTTCCTTTGGTTTAAATTTTTTTTTATTGCATTTATTTATATAGTGGTGTGTGTGTGTGTGCATGCACATGTACTAGTGGAGGTCAGAAAACAACTTGTGGGAGTCAGCTCTCACCTTCTATCATGTGGGTCCTGGGGCTCTAACTCAGGTCATCGAGTTTGGTGGCAAGCACTTTTACCCACTGATCCATTTTGCTGGCCCAGTTTGTGTGTGTGTGTGTGTGTGTGTGTGTGTGTGTGACAGGGTCTCACTATGTAGCCCTGGCTGGTCTAGAACTCACAGAGTTTTGTCTGTCTCTGCCTGGGATTAAGAGTATGCACTCCTGGGCCCTGTTTTATTTTGAGTCAGAGTCTCTTGTAACCTAGGCTGGCCTCAGACTTGATTTGTGGCCAAGGACAACCTTGAATTTCAGATCCACCTGTGTCCACCTCTCTGGAGATGATAGGTATATGCCACCATGCTAATAGTGGTCATCAAGTCATCACACCTCACTGGTGACCATGGGTTGTCATAGCCTCTATCTCTCCAAGTCTTCTCTAGTGCTCCAGGGCAGAGAGTTTCCTCCTTTTCATTGTTTCTTCATTGCAGTGACAAAACACTCTGACCAATACCAACTTGGGGAGGAAAGGGTTTATTTTATCTTAGATCTCTCGGGTCACAGTTCATCAGGGAGCCCAAGGTAGGAACTCAGGGAAGGAACCTGGAGGCAGGAGGTGGAGCACAGGGCATGGAGGAATGCTGCTTACTGGCTTGCTCCCCTGGCTCATGCTCAGCCTGCTTTCTCATGCACTACAGGCCCACCTGCCCAGGGGTGGCACCACTCACAATGGGCTGGACCCTCCTACATTACTCAACAATCAAGAAGATGCCTCATAGACATGGCCACAGGCCAGTCCTATGGAGGCAATTCCCCAACTGAGGCTCCCTCAACCCAGGTGTATCAAGTTGACACTAAAGCTATCCAGCACATTTATTATTATTATTTATTATTATTATTACTATTATTATTATTGCAGTACTAGGGATGGAACCCAGGGCTTCATGCAAGCACTAGGCAAATACTCTACCACTGAGCTACATCCCCAGCTTTCTGTCATTTAAATTTTTTGATTGATTTATTTTGATTGCACTAATGCTTTGTCTGCATGTATGTAAGTACACCTGTGCATGCAACACCTGCAGAGGCCAGAAGAGGGTGTCAGATCCCCTGGTACCTGTTGTTAGCCACCATGTAAGTTCTGGGAACCAAACCCAGGTCCTCTGCAGGAGCAACCAGTGCTCTTAACTGCTGAGCCATTTCTCCAGCCCTACCGCTGTCACTCTTAAAAGACTATTTACTTACTTGTTTATTTTATTTATTTATTTAATGTGTATGAGTGGTTTGCCTGAAATGCCTTTGGAGGCCAGAAGAGCATGTCAGATCCCCTGGAACTGAAGTTATAGATGGTTGTTAGCCATGTGGGTGCTCGGAACCAAAGAGATACTCTGCAAGAGTGGCCAGTCCTCTTAGCCACTGAGCCATCTCTCCAGCCCCAACCTTCTACCATTTTCTACACTTGAGAAAAGTGAAGCTCAGAGAGGGGATGGAATCTCGCTAAGGAGACCCTGCTAGAAGTGTCTTGGAGAAGATTTGTCTCTGCCTAGGATCAACCTTCTGAGTGCCTGACTCAGAACCCTGGCCATTGATCAGCTCAGTTGGCTGTCTGAACATGGGGAATTTATGCCCCAATAGATGGGAAAGTGTACAGGTTAAGTGATGAATTGGGTGAGCGTGGAATTGGGAAAGGCATCTCCAACTGTTCCCAGGAATGGTCTCCCCTTCCATCAATGTCCCCAACCCCACTGTCATTCAGCTCTGGCCTTTGGTTCCAGTCCATATGGATAGGAAGCCGTTCCTGAACGTGACTCCATTAGTCCATGCCCCACTGAGGTTCCTTGGTCTGTGCTCTGGGACAGGAGTCCAGGACAGGTGACATCACTCACAGGGGAACTGCAGAGGTGATGGAGAGATACAAGAGCCCCAGTTTGATAAGGAAGGGCAAATGGAGTGGTAGACATGAGGGGACCTCTGCCTCTTCCCCAGCCACTTGATGGTATTGGGCAGTGGCCACCTGCATCTCTAGAATGAAAACAGTATCCTCCTTGGAGGGTTACCAGGGTAGGTCCAGGGCTAGCCTTTGGGGCGGGGATGGGGTCCTTCCACAAGGGAGGACCTGTATTCCCATGGCTTAGCCAGGACCAAACATTCTTCCCCTGATCTAGGAGGTCTACTGATCTATCTGATGGGGAGCCACCTTCAGTGATAGGGGAGCCAGCCTGGAAACATCCTGCCCTCAGTGAGCAGCCAGCTCAAGGGCAGGTCACAGTCATACATCCAGGAACATCCTGAAAATGGGATCAAGGGGAAACTGACCTCTTAGCTCTAAGAAGTGGGTCATTCAGTGATGAACGGCTGCTCCTGCATACACCAGGTCTTCCTATGCAGAACATAGTGTAGGTACTTGCTGTTAATGGTTCCCACTTGGTTACCTTGCTAACTTCCTCATTCTCCTGGAACTGACAGAAATGTCCCTTCTTACAGGAATCTATGCTGGCTCTCCTCAGGTTGGGCCAGGGCCCTCCTCCAGGACCTCATGCCACCTCTCCACCTCTCTGTCTGCATCCTTATCCAGTCATCTAACAGTTAGTACTAACTTGGTACCAAGTCCTATAAAGGAGATACTATTATCATTTCCTTTTTTTTTTTTTTTTTTTATC